ATTGCAGGAACACAGACGATGTACTAGTGCTGTTTACTATATGCAGTTGTTTTAGAGCCTTCTCTGCATAATCTCTTAGCCTCTATTTGGACGGGGGGGGAGAAGGTGGGCGGCTCTTTAAATTTTTGAAGTCTAAAGGAACACAAATACAATGTTTATGTAGTCTTTTGATGGAGTACAAAAGACTTCCGTGAATGAATCCATTTCTAAAGTCCACCAGCATTGTTTTGGACTACAGTATTTGTCTAAGAGAAATACTTAATCTTGTTCTCAAAGCTTGCGGGAACTAAAAGTCTACCGTAGCAGTAGTGTTCACTGATAAACAGTCCTTGCAAAACTTGCCCTTTTTTTTTTTTAAAGTGAGGTTGTATAGCTTCAGTTTTTAGCTCCTAGAGGCTGATGCATTTTTCTATGCAAAACAAAAGTGAATGTTCATTATTGAACATCTATTTCCTCTATGTAGGATCACTAGAATCTTATTTTTATAAATACAGGTATTGAGCTATTTATCTTCCTTAATACATTTTTTGTGTGATTTGCCAGAAGTTGAAATAGCTCTTGTGTGTATACAGAAAAGTTGTACGTATGCAGCTTTTTTTTATAAGTGGAGATACTTGTAAAATTTTGAAATGGTTGTGCCAAAACCGAGCATTATTTAAATGTGGTACAACTGTTACAGTTGGTTGTAAAGATGGTTACAGGTCAGTATTTCCTTGTTTGTATGTTGGTGGGTTTATAGTTTTGATATGGTTTTATTTGGCATTGTTTTTACTGATTATCTGCTGTCATTCTGAACTTTTAGTCATATTTTGTATATACTGTAATGAGTTCCCATCAGTGGTAAAACTTTTTAACCGGAACCCTTTGAGCTTTATGGCACTTAAAAACTATATAAGTGCTCGTCTTACGCCCCTTCTTTGTCCCCTCCTCCTCTGCCAATAAAAGTATTAAATGGAATAGGACTGAGAACAAGTCACTGTAAACAAAATTGTTGAGCGTGATTGTTTCTAATATTACTTGAAATCTTAGTTCATGTAGTGCAATGTTACATTGTCTCAGTTTATTTTAGGGTAGTTTGGTTTTACAGCTTATGGAAGGCTGTAAGGAAGATGCACAGAAAGATTCTTGTTAGTAGTGTGCGTGTACATGTCTTCCTCTGTGCTGAGAGTGCCCTTATGCAATTTAGTTGGTTTTGGAGCTGGATTAAGATGAATTAGCTCCTTGGATCGTTACCACTTCACATGCAGAATAGTAGTTTATCTTGCAGTCAAACTGGACCACCTGACTAAATATGAAAGTTGTATCAAGTTACCCTGTATTTTTTTAGTTCCTGTTTAATCGAGGCCTGCATTGGTATGTGTCGCTCTACGTGGCAATGATGCCAGGCCAACAGGCCTGTGATTGTTGGTGTAGCCTTAAGCATTGGCACAACATCTGTTTTCTTCCAGTCTTGAAGTATCATCTATGGAGTAGAAACATTTTTTGAAAAATGGGAGTTGTATGGAAGGTTTTTGGTTGTAGTGTTTATGTGAATTGCATACGTGCTATTTAAAATCTGTTAATTTTTTTCCAACTTCAGTTGTTGTTGTGTAACTTCACGGTTACTGTGTTAGTGGGATGTATCATTCAGACAAATTCTGCTTTTTTATGTATAGAACAGAAATTTTTCTTTAGCTGCATTGGCTTTTTTGCATCAACTATTGACATGTCTAGTAATGGAGAAAAAACACTGGTGTGTGTGTATATTATGTATGTGTGGACATAAGGAAGTGAAAGCAGATAGCAGACCAGACTAATTCACTTGAAAAACAAAGAAGAAAACCTAAACCCCTTCTGATTGTAGAGGCCGTTATGGGATTCAGGCACAAGACAAATTCGATTAAATTATGATTCTTTTAGTGTTCATTTCTGGGTTTGAGATTGGTTTTCTCTGTGCAGTAATGAAAAGTAACTTAAATGCGACAGTTTACAAATTAACTGCCCAGTTGCAGTTTTAGAAAGTTTAGTAAATTCATATGGCAGCATAACTGTCATTCCTCTCTTGTTGAGGAATGTTGACCAAAGAAGTCTGGATGTGTCTGCTAAGTTTCAGTAGTAATGGGAGGCTGGGAAACATTTTTAGGGGGGAAAAAAAGTGCTGCTCCAAAATGGTAAGTATTAGAGAGTGATTTTGAGGGCATGTTGTGTTTTTTCTATGCTGAGATCTGGTTGCTCCTGCTTCTTTCTTTTTTAAAACCAGAGAGACAACTCTCTTGATTAACCTGTAAGTAGTTATTTTACTTCTGAAATGTAGGTAGAACTTGATACGTTTGTTTTCTTATTTGTGCGATTAAACAGCTGTAAGAGTTCAATGAAGAAAATGAGAAATGGGGGATTAACAGGACTTTCCACTCTGGATGGTATATGTAGTCCATTTAATCCACCGTCTTGTTCTTGAGGTTGTATTTTTATCTATGCTTTAAGCCCACGCAAATCGCTGCCAACGCAGAAGAAGGCAGTGCTGCCCTCTCCCTTGTGCTGCAAGTGAGTGTTTGAGAGACTAGTTTGGAGAATTGATCTGGGTTAGCATTAACGTTGGTGGAGGGGGTCTAGGGGGGGCTTGTTGAAATGCACAAGGCTGTTGAAATGCTTCTACCGACACACAGGAAGGGTTGGCGACAGTGGGGGTCTGTTCGTTTTAGCTGTAGCGCTGGCTTACGTGAGGCTGAAGCATACCTAAGGGTACACTTGATGGTCTGCAGTGTAGAAACTTCTGACATGGTACTGTGTAAGTAAATGGTTATGGAATAGTTTGTTTATTGGTGTGGTTTTTTTACACTTTGACTAGATACTAATGAAGAATAAAAATCCTTCAGAAGCACACACACACTGCCACTAAAAACCAAACTAACCCCCCCATTAGTAGTGTGTCTTGCTCTTCCCTTCAGTGAAGTGTGTGCTGTTACCAGGTTGTTGCATTTTACCCATTCTTAAATTGCTTCTATACCTTTATTTCCTTTTCTTTTAATGATGTTACCGTCTGACCAGGCACTTGTTTATCCCAATACCTGCAGATATTTAAAAACCTGATTGTGAATAGCTTATTAACTACAAGTCCGAAGCTTTATTCCTGTCTGATGCATGCTGTTAGACTCTTCCACCATTAAGAGTAGCATAATGGAGTCTAGTTCCTTCAGTGTGTAACAAGAGTAACTTTTCCATATTGGAGAATATGAACTTACTGCGTTCTGCAATATTTGCCTGCCATTTTACAGTAATTTCTAGCTTGTACAATATTTGACTGTGTTAGAAGTAGTGTTGAAACTATGGCATCTCAGATTCAAGCAAATGATCTAAAAGGGCCTTAATTTTCAGACAATTTGGTGCCCAAACTTAGGAAGATCTGTATACAACTGAGTTAAGTGACAGAAAACAGTATGTTTTGTAAAAATCCTTTATTTTCAATGTGTATGTGCTAAAAGAAGTGTTAAAAAAACTTACTGCAACAACCCCTGAAGCCATAATATGTTGAAGTATTGAGGGGAAAAAAGTACAGGCTGCATAGATTGCATTAATTTATACAAGAACAAGAGTGGTGGTTGTGTCCAATGTGCAGCACATTCTGAATTAAAATTTATAGAATCAGTACTGATTATAATCTGGGTTACTTCATCTTCTCTGTAGGTAGGAATTTGCTTATTACTTCATTTGAATGCAAGCTGCATGTTAGGAAAAAAAAAAAGCTATGGAGAGGAGTGTTGGCCAACAGTTTTCTTTAGAAATGCTCCCTACTTTTTCCTTCAGGCATGCCGAAGTGCTGGTAAAGAAGAGGGAGAGGTTCTGCTTTCCCCTGATGACTACTCCTAAAAGTTCATATGCACATTTACTCTAAAACTGATGTTGACTTAGTTTGTTGTTTTGCCTTTTTGGAGTGGATTTCATTTAACATAATACACAAAAGAAGCTAAAGCTGAGGATATCCTCAGTTTTGCAGGTAGAGATGCCACTAATCTTCTGAGTTACGTTAGTGTGAAATGTGATGGAGTGTTTTTGCAACCTGGGGCTTATTTCAAAGTGCTGAATTAGGGTAAGTTTGGGATTTTTATTAAAGGCATGTAGCTATAGTTCTTTGGGCCAAATTGGGGATTTCTTTGCAAATGTTTCAGTGTTTGCAGGGTCAGTGAAATTATGTGTAAGAACAACTACGTGGATTTTCAAAATCAGGAACTGCCACTTAGACTGAGGCCAGAGATTGAAATTTGAGTGGATAACTACGGTGAAATTAATACTGTTTTGCTTTCCCAAGTTCAATGAACTTTTCTTTGACAATATTTGGAACATATGGGAGTGTATAAATGCTGGTTGTTTTAAGTGTGTGGTAAGAGATGATACTAGAGAAGATGATAGCGCTTGGTTAGCAGTTGGACTTGATGATCCTGAGGATCTTTTGCGACCTAAATGATTCTATGAACTGTAGTGACTGGTTTTAAGTCTAAGTTTCAGAATCAACAACCTGAGTATCAAAGTTGATTGAGCTAGAATTGTATGGAAGACTTTGAAGGAAAAAAGCCACAAGGTAATTGCAGGATGTTAAAATCAAACTTTTCTTCCAGGGCTCACTTACCATCTTGAATTAGTTTTTGTGGGTTAGTGTGGTACCCTTGCTAGGTAGGCAAGAAGACTATTTAGTGTTCTCTTATTTTTCTGCAGCTGCAGCAGGTAGGGATGGGAAGAACCATGAGAAATGTCTAGAATGTACAGCTGATTCTTTGTAGTCATTAAGGGAAGAGGGTTAAGACGATACTGTCTTCATGTCATGGCTTTCTTCAGTATTGCCTGTAGTGAGAGGAGCTGTGGCAGTGCTCATGTACAATGAGCATGTAAAATTTAATATTCAACGTGCATCATACGCTGTTTCTCTTTGATGCTTGTCCTTCCAGGTAGCTGTTTGTAAGGCTTTTTAAAAGATTTGGTTTATATCCACTTTGTACTAGATACTTGTAAAGATGTGTTGTATTTAAATTCCTACTCTGCATTTCAGTATTCCAGTATCTCATTTCCTGCTGTGTCTCTTAATTCATTTTAGGAAAGATCGGGACCGGGACAGGGACCGTGATGACCGTTCTAAAGATCGCGACAGGGATCGTGACAGAGATAGAGATCGTGACAGAGAAAGGGACAAGGAAAAAGATTTGCGACCTACATCTAACTCTACATATTATGCGTCTGCTGGGTTACCAACTATAAAACCAGCAATGATTCCACACAGTATTAACCCTTTCACAAATCTACCACATACACCACGATATTATGACATCCTGAAAAAAAGGCTACAACTTCCTGTCTGGGAATATAAAGAGAGATTCACGGATATTTTGATCAGGCATCAGTCATTTGTGCTGGTCGGAGAGACTGGGTCTGGTAAAACAACACAGGTGAGTTCTTATCTATGTAATACTGCAGTTTTTTAAAGGTGAGACTGTAGCGTTCCTGTAATTCCATTGTATAAGAACATCCTCACAGATTGTGAGCAAAACTAACTTGATAAATGTTTTATTTGCTTAATGAATACAAAAGTGAGCAGAATCTTTCAGCATCTCCCCCTTTCACAATCCAGTCCTGTTTTCTGACCCCTGCTTCTATGAGGCTTTAGGATTGGTATTTACCCTTTTGGTAAAGAAAGATAAAGTGATTTTAATGGCTAGACAGAAGTGTACTAGTCCACAAACTGAGGTGATTGTTCCAAATAATTTATTCAGCTGTTTGTGTAGATAGCAACTGGAAAGTAGGAAAAAATGTTACAGAAGTAGAGACTTGTTAGTGTTTTATGAAACTTACTGCTGCAGATACAAACTTAAAGGGAGTTGAAATGTCAGATGAGATTCTGACGTGATGCGTTTGGATCATGTGTTTTGGTGATTGAGAGTAAGACTTGTGTTTCTTTGGTGCTTAAACTTCTCAGAGGTCATACAGCTTTCCAGTGCTGTAGTTAGTCACGTTATTTTTTTTTTTAGTAGATTAATGGCTTTAAAAATCTTCCTTAGCACTGAAAATAGTGATAATGGATCTACAGAGCGTCCTTAACCCTTAAGAAGGATTTGGGGTACCAGCAAACAGGGAGGATCTAAGATATAAGGCACACCACTGTGTATAGCAGAACAAACTTGCTCAAAACTTCATCCTCTGGTTTGCTGTTTAAAATCTGTGTGGAAAAGTGATGTAAAAAAGTTCTTTGTTCAGTAACCCGATAAATTCCTTTTATCTAGGCAGAAAGTAAAAACTGAAGGATATTTTAGTCATTTTGTAAAATAGATTATAGCTAACATACAGTAAGTCTTACAGAAATAAATTTTTAGTCATAAAATAAAATTTGGATGTCAAGAAAATGTGAAGGACATAGTAGTACATTGGATACCTTTTATAGCTGTGCCTGAAATATTTGAAGTTTTATGCCCTTCTTACTACAAAGTTTAGAAACCAGTGTCTTGTTTGGAAGCTACTTTATGGCCTGATCTGTATTGCTTTTTTAACATGCGTAAGCTGAGACCAGGATTTTACAGAATTCTTCAGAAAAGTTTGATTATGTAGTTACTTGGAAGAGGTAGTATTCTGAACATTCATGTAAAAAAAATTTATACTTACCTATGTGAAAACAAGATCTCTCATTGCATGATCTAGAATTTGAAGGTCTAAACAAAGGGGGTGTGTTCTTAATATCTATGGCTTAAACTTCAAATACATCTTATTATCATGTCATTCCGCAGGTATAAAGCTTTTCCTGAATTGTCTTACTACTTTACCCCTTACTTTCTGAAAGGACTTAAGAAACTGAAGGAATCTTTCCTAAAAAGGGGATTTAAGCTGGTAAAAGCACTTAAGCTGTGTTGGAAGCTTCACTGCTTCCTCTGAATTCTCTCTATGAGATTGCAGATATGTTCTGGAACAACTGAGAGTGTCTCTGTAGGAATGTATCACTGAAAATGATCCTGCTGCCACTTAACAAAAGCCTTATTTAGCATGTGGTAGCGTCACATCCTTTTTGTGATCTAGTGCTGTCTTAAAACCAGTTGGGGGGTGGTTGTTTTCTCACAGTCATTGATCAGAGCAGGATGAATAATTATCTGTGGTTAAGGAACCCTCTAATGCTCAAACTGAAGGTGTGCATGAACTATTTATGCTTGTTTTTCTTGGTGTGAAGTTGATGTTATTTGAAATATATGATGAATTGTTTTTCCAAAATGATTGTCTTCTCTCTCATGGTGATAGTGGAAGACTATATAGTAGTAAAAGAGTATTTTTGAGAGTGAGCTGCTGCCTGTCAAGTCCCTTCCCTGATTTTATGTACGTGTTTTCCCTTTAGTCTCGTACAGCATCCAGGTTTGTAAATGGTTGGCTTTGACAATGGAAACAATAGAAGATGAAACTTTTCTCAAAGTCTTGTTCCACGTAGACTTAAACACAAAGCACTGAAGAAGTATATTGGAAGCCAAGACTTCAAGTCTTAGTATTTGCAATGGCTTGATTTGTAATTTAAACGTAACCTTCTAAGTTAACTGTTTTCTTTAAATACTCTCATAATATGCTCAGTGGTGCAATGGGTGTGCTGAATTTCTCTTAGAAAGGTTAAGTGCTTGCTATAATTGCAGCGTGCGCTCCTTTTTAAATACGGGATCATATGTGGTGCTGGTATAATAAATTTAAATTTCTTCTGTAGATGGTAGAGTAGCCTCTGCTTTCACTTGAGATTCTTAACTATAAAGGGTAGGATATTTGTTGACGTAACATAAGGGATGCCGTTTTTCAGCAGGTTTTTTTGGCAGGTGAAGTTCAGAAGCAAGGTGGTTCTGAATATAGCTTGATCTCCTGCTGTCCTTGCAATCCACAAGAAAATTGATATGGGTAAAAGTCTGACGCCTTTTCAACTAATGAAAATTCTGAGAATTTTACCATATAACCTTTAACAGAGGAAGTTTTCAGTAAATTGTAGTGGCTTAGAAAAGCCAGAAAGACAGTGCTCTTCCCTCTCTTGCCCTGCATCCCTCTAAGAACAGGACTTTCCTTTGACTTTGAAATAGTGCATTTATCCTTGATCTTAGAGGCTGCTGTATGTGTAGTCCTTACCTCATGTTTATGGAGCTTATATTTGAAAATCTCTCTTAATTGAGGGAATCCTTGAGGTTAAAAGATGCCAACTAGAGCTATTCCTCATGCTTTTGATACTGATAAAATGGCTTTTTTAAAGGAAAGTCAAGGGTTTTGGTGACATCTAGGTTTTTTTGTGTCAGTGGAGTTAACTTTATGTTGCATTTTATAAGAACCAAGTTGTAAGAAATGTTCAGTATGTTCCAAGTCATGACTGAACTAGAAAATGTAGTATGGCACAGTGCTTTTTCCTAGTGTTTGTATGTCTTTTAAAGCTAGACATGAAAAGTGTTCTGGTGGCCATCTAAATCAGCTTAACACATTGAAGTCTGTGTGGCCCTTTTCTTTGATTTGACACCAATGCTGTAGGTTTTGCTGTTTACTGGAAAACCACTTCTAAATTGTTTTTATTTCATGCTACTGTGGCCCAACAGACCTGCTGTTTTAAAGTTTATTTCAGGACTTACTCTGTTTAAACTCAAGAAGCTTGACCTGATATGCTTAGAGTTGAGTTTTTATTAGTGACTTGCGAGGCAAATTGCTTTCTCTACCCTGCGTATTAGGGGAGCATGTATGTGTTACAGGATAGGATTTCAAGTTCATGCTATCAGTGTTCACTAGCTGCTAGTATTTTTAGTTTTGAATGGGGTTTTCATAACTACAGTCCTTTTCTCAGCAGTCTTGTAGTCTCCTGTCATATTTTGATACTTTGCAGCTTTTATTTATAATGGAAGTATGTTCTCTAATTAAAAAAAAAAGTTTTTCATTACAATCTACACTTGTCTGCTTGTGGGTAGGTTTCAGTGTTTGTTAACATCCATTTTGCTGTGAAAATACGGTATTGTAGAAGAAAAAATTTCCTGGTTTCGACTATACAGCTTTTCCTGTTACTTCTCATTGGTGCAATGTAAAAATGTGGGTTTTTGGTGTTTTTTTTTTTTCCCCCCTCTCTGTAAATGTGAAGTTTTAACACTTGAATACTTGAAAAGCAATTACTAAGGAGGAGTAGATTTAGTTTTTGATATGTAGGCTTGGAACTAGTTGTGCCTGGAGATGTCTCCTCAAAATGTCACACTGAGAACACGTTAAGAGTAGTCTGTCTTCATCAAACTGTTACTGACTTTAGAAATTTTTCTGAATAAAGCTTCTTATTTTGAATGATTCTTACTGTTTCCAGATTCCTAACAGGAACGGAAAACTGCTGACTGACAAATAAAATGAGTACTAACATAGGAAGGAAAACATACGGGTTTCATATCTGGTTGATAAAATTTCGAAAGAACAATAACTAAATGAACAAAACTATTTGTTAGTTTTGTTTGTTGTGATTCCTGGCTGATTTTTATATCACTAAAATAATTCTTTTTGCTTAGTGTGTTAATCACCATTAGTTTTTAAAGCCACAAAATGTAATTTACTTAGCGTAAAACTTAACTGTGCTACAGATCTCAAAATTCTTAGTGTTAACTTTAATTTCGGTTGCTTTGGAGCATGTTGGCTGCTGCTAAATATCTGTATAAGGTTCTGATCTAACAGTGCTGAAATGTACTATGAACCTATGTGTTTCCTTTGTAACTTCAAAGATAGTCATGTACAAGATTAATGTGAGTGCACTTTATTAGTGGCATTGGGTCCAGCTAACTAGTCTGTCTGCTCCATGCTTTGGATATTTTTGTGCATGTAGTTGACTTCTCAGTGGAATTAGAACTAACTTTATTTGATACAGTACAAAGGCTGCAGATTAGATCTGGCCATTTGAAGTGTGTTTAAAACTGAATTTTATTCTTGACAGATCCCTCAATGGTGTGTTGACTACATGCGCTCGTTACCCGGACCAAAGAGGGGAGTAGCATGTACCCAGCCTAGGAGAGTGGCCGCAATGAGCGTGGCGCAGCGGGTTGCTGATGAGATGGATGTCATGCTGGGCCAGGAGGTTGGTTACTCTATTCGATTCGAAGACTGCAGTAGTGCAAAAACCATTTTGAAGTAAGTATGGCAACTGTTGGGTAAAGGTATAACACAGCTTACTTGGAAGTGGGGGAAATTTCAGGAGTGAAGGGTGTGAGCAAAGTTGTGAAAGGAGTAATGAGGAGGGGAGTGAATCTGTGGACAGGCACTTTCTGTGTCTGAGTGGAAAAGAGAGACAGGAACTATAGCATGAGCTGAGAGAAACCTGAGGTGTGGGGCTTGAGTAGAGTTGAACATGAGTCATTCCTTCTAAGAAATCCCTGCACCCTATGGAAATTATTTTTAAATGATCCATAAAGAGGGTGATCTGAAGTATTTTTATGATTAAGGTGCATTCAGAATAAAGCCCTTCGGCATTGAGTTTCTCATTCACGTTATGCATTAAGCTGACCTTTGTCTGTGGTATCTTCTTCCTCAGGGTAATCCTGGTGAAGTTCAATAGCTTGCTTCAGTATGGAGAACTACCATAAAGTTTTCCAACTGGCCTGTACCTGGCTCTGGGACGCATAATCTGTAGAGTTTTAGTTGTCAACTGTTCTAGATTCGTGTGCTGTGTAGGTGGAACCAAGCCCACTTAATATATCATTTGCAGATGACATTCAAAATGCTCAGTTAAAAGGATTCCACATAGTGTGGTTCAAGGGCTAGTGCTTTTCTGTTAAAAGATGTCTTCTGTTTTGCTCATACAAGTAGTTGAAGGCTGGGAGTAAAGTTAATGTGTAAAAGGAAATTTAACCGAGACTGAAAAGCAAAAAATGAACAGATGATCTGCAAACAGAGAAGGGGAGAAACAACTGCAGAAATGATATTTCTAGTATTTCAGAGTGTGTTCCCTTTCTTTTCCTTTCTCTGATTGTAGACCTTGAAGTCTGCCAGCAATAATCTACAAACAATGTTGCTAAACCTTGTTTCTCCTTCCCCCCCCTTTTTTTAAGCTTCCCCCTGTACTCCCAGATTTCACTTGCACTCTGCAGTATTTCTATTTGAAAACTAAAATGGGCTTCTTACCTTGTTGGGAATAGCTTACTGATGTTTCTGTGCTAAAAATGTTGATTAAAAGCTTAGTTCAAGCAACCTAGCGAATGATACAGAAGAGGAATTTGTATCAGACCTACTAAATAAAATATGAGTTGAAATTGGTTTTGTTTGTGCTCAGGTATATGACTGATGGTATGTTACTTCGTGAAGCAATGAATGATCCTTTGCTGGAGCGCTATGGTGTTATAATTCTTGATGAGGCCCACGAGAGAACACTGGCTACTGATATTTTGATGGGAGTTCTGAAGGAAGTTGTAAGACAAAGATCTGATTTGAAGGTCAGTAATGATGAAGCCCTGCAGCATCTCCTTTCTAGTTTTGGGCTTTCCGAGTAAGGTACCTGTGTGCTTACCATTAGCTGATTTTTATAACAACTAAAGTAGATGAGCTGGTTTTATCTAATGTTAATCTGTATTGGAAAGATAACCCTAGGAAATTCTTAATGCAGTTTGTGTTGAGGAAAATAGTAGAAACAACGTAACTGTTGCTGAACCTTTCCACATTTGAATAGGAATTTTTTTGGTCCTTTGTAACAAGGGTGCTGTATTCAGGTGATAAAATCATGCTGAAATCGTGGTCAGCAGTTGAGTTTAGTTTCTCAGTATTCCATGTTGTGTGCATGTAACATTTCACAAACTCTTGTTAACCTTTGGAGTAACTTCTTTTGTCCTTCAAACCTACAGGTTATAGTTATGAGTGCTACTTTAGATGCTGGCAAGTTTCAGATCTATTTTGATAACTGTCCTCTTCTAACTATCCCGGGTCGCACCCATCCTGTGGAGATATTCTATACTCCAGAACCAGAAAGGGACTACCTTGAGGCTGCCATTCGAACAGTGATCCAGATTCACATGTGTGAAGAAGAGGAAGGAGATCTTTTACTCTTTCTTACTGGACAGGAGGTACTTTCTTCCCTTTTTTTTCCCCATCATTCCATACAGAAACTGTTTTTAGTGGCTTGTGTAGACTGAAATGTTTAGTTTGCTTTTCTAGTTTCACTTGAATGACCTGAGGTTTTCTACCTGCCATACACTTCAGGTCCGTAGTTATCATTGTATGCATCAATATGTTTATGCTATGAAAGCCCTCTCTGACATGGAAATTCTCATCTTACTCATGTACTTCTGAAATAGAAACCTAGAGTATGAACCCTAGGTTTGTACTGATGTGAAATTGAAAGTTCTGGGTACCTGGTAGCACCCATGTTTTTACTGAAAGTGTAGTTCTGTGCACTTCTGAGTGTGTATTGTGCAACTTATTTGAAGAGTAACACTTTGGTTCTGCTACTTAGCTATCAGCAGTAGTTTTAATAATATTTGGGTTTTGTTTTTTATGAATGGCTTTTGAGTTTTAGATTGTAGTTTCTGTACCACAAATATGGGGTGTTGTGTCTCAAATAGACTCTGCCTTGCAAAAGAGGATTGTACAAAAGCACTTAAGCTAAACTACATCAGGAAACAAGGATTTCCTGGAAATCTTAAATCATTTGCTTGAAATAAACTGAGGATTTATTTTTTTAGTCCTGTTCTGTTGCTTTGAAGCTCTTTTGAGTGTCCCTATTAGTAGACTGAGACGGAGAAGACTTAAAAAAGCTATGGGCACTGTGAAAGTTTTACTTGACTGTGTCAACCTAAAATGAATATATTTTTTTTTGTAGGAGTAGGAATGCAGGTAGCAAAAAAGTTTTTCTGACTCACTTTTCTTGCACTCACTCCTCTTGAAGAAATACCCTTCAAAGGACGCAGAACAATTCAGTGTCTTTAATCTAAGCATACATGGTCATAATAATGCCAAGGGGGAAAAAGATTGTGATGCTAAAAGTAGACAGGCTTCATGAGTAGATTTGCCAGTCATAAAGGTGTGTTGCCTCTTAGACAGGTTTTAAAAGACAGTAGATTAAAATGTCTTCTGGCAGGTTGTCCCCCCCTTAGAAAACCCGAACAATGGCTATCGCTGTAAAAGCAGGTACTCTGGCCTTTACAGTTGTCCGTCTTTGTTCGGAGTGTTGCTGTGAGTTGAAGTATGGGTAGGGAAAAATACTTTAACGATTGTGGCTTTGAAATCTGCCTGTTTGGTCTTCCTTAGAAGTTCTGGTTCAGACTATGTAACAGGTAAATGTGAGAATTAGTGAAACAGCTGTTGCAAGTGGGTGAATGAACCAGTGGCAATACAAAGGACCACTGCCATCCAGCTGTTTCAGCAGACTTTGTTTTCTTACCAGGATGCTAAATCAGGCCGGTCTTCAGCCTTTCATGAAGAACAAATAATTGGCCTTCTAACTATCAATTATAAATGATGTCCTTGCTACATCACTTGCTATGTATTGCTCTAAATAACTTGTTGTAACAGTTGTGGGAGTTGAGGGGCAGGTGAGGTGGCTGCCTTCAGATGTTAGCAACTCTGAGTACTGCTTGGGTTTGGCAAATGGCTCTAGACTCACCTGGTCTAGTAGCAGCCAGTGTTACAGAGGTACTCTGTTCTTTTGTATCAACAGGTTCTTTGATTTCCACTGGGTTCATTTACAGGACATGATGTATTTATAGATGATTTTTTTAATAAAATCATGCACATAATACATGCTCATATGTACAGATATAATTATGCATAAATGTACCTAACAGTATCCCTGTATTGCCTTACTGAATCACTTAAAAATTGCACTGGTCTCTTTTTTTTTTTTTTTTTT